GCCGGTTGTGCCGAGTTTCGGAGCGGGCGGTTTTGGCCGGATCCACTGGAACTGGGAGAGGGTCGAGCCCCACAAGGCTGTGGCTCCAAAAACCGGAATTCCAAAATGGAACCCTGGTATGTGGAAACATGGACCAAAACCTGCGTAACCCCTCTTGTTTCATTTCGAGCCACACCCACAATTCCATTTGCAGTTCGAAGTGAAAAGGCAGTCAGTCGTAGACGCACATCGTATTGGTCCACGCGTACAACTTCGGAGCTGCAAGCCCACCTTGCAGACAGGGGAGGTCTTGGTGAGAATGGACCCCCAAATGGACAAGGAGCATGTCCGAGATGCCATAGCTCGTGGCTTTGGAGCCGGATGGAAAAGCACCAACTCGGAATTCCAGCAGTTGTGCTTCGTTTTTTTTTTTTGGCCTTTGGGCTTGTGAAGAACCGCAAGCACCACGTAGCTGACTGGAGGGCCTGAACCGCGCCTTGGGGGTTTTGGGTGGCTTTCCCTTGGCGCAGAAGATTGGGCAAGCCTTGCCTCCCATGATCACGTTGGGCCAGGGCGGCCCTTTCCACATTCGTGGCTTCGAAGCTGGCAGAAGTTGCCGGAACGCGACTTGCCTCCTCTGTCTTTTAACAAAAGGAAGTCTTGTCCATTGAGGTTATACCTGGACCTTCTGCCGGGGACCCACCACCATCCCAAAAACCTTCCAAACAATTTGGATGAACGTGATGCGTGTGGCCACATAGAGCCAGAAAAGACCAAAGACAGCTTTTCTTGGCCCCCAACTTGTTGTTTTGGACCCACGAATCAAATCGCACAAAACTGGGAGGGGGCAAGGGATTGGTTTGTTGGACCGTGGCTCATGCGCGCCCCTTGCTGGCTCATAGCAAGTTTGACTCGGTGGCCGGCCCCCTAAGAAGAGGCGCGGGATCGCAACGCGTTTGGTCGGGTGTCGGAAAGGCTAAAAAGAGAGAGCGCCTTTGAGGTAGGAGCCGCCGAATGTAGACATATACAAATATATTATACACATATATGCACAATATACGGTACCTGCCCTTTGAAATGTCCAAGTGTTCATTTGTCTTTGTTTGTGATGGCCGCTGCATCTGACTCTGCAAAAGGCAAATCCCCCCCCCCCATCCCCAGGGTCAGGCTGATGTCTGGGCCCTCCGTTTGAACAGTTAGCATTAAAACCCTGTCTCAGAGGAAAGGCCCAACAAGGCTTCTACCTGAAGGGTTCAAACGGTTCAAACGGTTTAGACGGTTCAAACAGTTTGGAGCGCAGAGCTTGCCTCTGAGATCTGTGCTTGATTCCAGGCATCCACTCATGTGCAATTCTGATGCCATCGGCTCAAGCCTGGTGACAAAGCGAATACACTGTAATTGCTAGAGTAAAAAGAACGATCACCGCTTGCTCTATTTTGGACACGTGTATTGGCATTTGCTCTCCACTGGACACCAAACACTTTCTCGTAGGGATTTACAGATTTGGTCCTCTTTGACCTGCCCACAGACCCTTGCATCGGAATAGATCTACAGGGTCAAGATGAGGGCGTGAGAGAAGGGCGAGCCAGAGCACGATCCTAAGCACGCTCAGGGTCGTGTCAGCATCATGCACTTCCAGCAGCAGGGGGAGCGCTTTCGGACATTTTGGCTGCGGACAGGTGCAGTGTTTGTCATGGCTTTGTTGGTGGTGCCGGCCGTGTGTGAGGGGGCCTCTTGAAAGTGTGGCCTCTCAGTGCTGAGTAAGGTGGGGAGGAGGTGTGGTGAGCACACGGGGAACGTTGAGGGTGGCTGCTTGGCGTGGGCCTCCAAAAACAAGCAACGCTGCAACACGCAATGGGGACGCAGCAGCCTGTAGATTGTCGCCGTGGCGCGAGTTGCCAAGAACTCTACTATTGTAAGGCTGTAGCGGAGCAGGTTTTCCGAAAGCGAGATGACAAGTGTCTATGGTAGATCATCCCCCTCATCTTTCTTGAGGCGGACACCTTCAACTTGGCAGTGTTCCTAACAAAAATATGTGGAAAGTTCTCCCCTTGCAAGGCAAGGCAAGGGCAGCCTTCCAGAGCCAGCAATCGCCCTGACGCTTGCCGGCCTCGAACTTTCAACCTACCCTTGCTGAGGGGCATTTTTCAGGGTCGCTTTGTCAAAGGGTGTGTTTTGCCGAAGGATCGGGCAGCGAATCTTGGGCAACAGGCTTGATAACCTTCGGCTCACGATCTTCGGGTGCAAGGGCCAAGGCGTGCTTCTGCTATTCTCGCAAGCGCAACGCGTTCAGATGTGATACCAAGCTCTTGTACATGACCTTCGATTCCCAAACCAAGAACTCTGCAACCTTCTCTCAGCTCTTCAGGGTGGTTCAAGACTGCCTTTGGGGGCAGCTTGTGAGGGCCCTTTTGATTGTGTGCATATCTTATTGGGCTCCACCTACAGGACCCCAAAGCCACGTTTCGAACAAATCCTACGATTCTGCGTTTCGCGTTTCGAAATTCTTGGCTTTGCTTGCTGGCCCTATAAAAATGATTACGTTTCGGGCATACGTTCCGAAACACGTGTCGAAACGCTACGTTTCACGTTTCGCGGCTCGGGTTTGCCAAGTCTCGGATAACTCTTTGCAAGGCATGGAGTCCCTCTTCATTGACAAGAAGGCGAACCCTCAAAAGTAGTCCGCTCTCGCCGAATTCACAAGCTCGGGGTAAAGTTTTGGACGGGGCAGGTCTGGTGGCGAACACTGTGGGCGATACGGAAATGATTCTTGCACATTCCTCTAGGGTTAGCGCGGATGGACGCACGGCATTTGCGGGAAGTGTAAGCCTGGTGGTTAGCGTAGCGACGTCCTTTCTCCGGGGGTCACCGGGTTGAGGCATCTTTGGAGAAGATCGGAGGGGGTTTCCACCTTGGCATTTCATGGTCCCCCCTCAGACTTGCCGACGGCTTCCCCAAAGCGCCTCAAGTTGAGTCAGTGGGTCCTCGTGCTTCTGGGGCTCTCAGTTGGTTCTGTTCATTTGGAGTAAAGCTGCCGCATGACATTCAAGGGGATTGCCTGGCATCGCCGAGAAACCGGGATTCCCACAACGCCCCATTTGGGCGTGTGATTTTGTTTGGATTCCGTTGGTGGAAGCGAAGTGAAACCATGTGAAACAAACCATTTTGGTTCACCTGACCTGGCCTCCCATCCGAGGCCATGTACTGCTGCTGCAGCACCGAGGATGGCGAGGCGAGTGGTTTTAATGCCTTGATCAGCTTTGTCAATTCAAGTAGTTAGTGCAGACGCGACGGGCTTTCGGGGTTCCTGAATGTAGCCCTCTTTGGACACCTTTGTTTGGAGCCAACTTTTTGTCCAAAACAGCTTAGCAGATGGGGTTCCCTATTTATGCCCATAATTGTTCCCGGGCACACAATGGGTTGCTCATGTTAGCCCTGGTGTCTCTACGCCATCGCGCGCTTGTCTCCCTGTTTGTTCAAGGTGGTGCTTGGTGACTTGGACCCTGTCAAGGCTTGTCTCCGCACTTGTCTCTTCTCTTGTGTCCCCACCTGTCTCCCCACTTGTTCCCTTTGCTTGTCACTGCCTGTATTTTCATTTGTCTCTTCATTTGGTTCTTTGCTTGTGCTTGCTGACTCGGACGCGGTCACAATTTGTCTCCCCACCTGTCTGCCCACTTGTCTTCCCCCGGACCTGGTCACAACATGTCTCCCCACTTGTGACCTCACTGTCTCTTTGCTCGTCATGGCTTGTATCTTCATTTGTCTCCTCACTTGTTTCTCTGCGTGTGCTTGCTGACTCAGCACTTGTTGTCCAACTTGTCTCCCCATTTGTCTCCCCATTCGTCTCCTTTCTTGTCTCCCCGCTTGTCTCCCTTCTTATCTCCCCACTTGTCTCCCCACTTGACCTGCTTGTAGTTGCTGACTCTTCCGGGCTTGTCTTCTTATGGTCTCCCTACTTGTGCTTGCTGCCCCTTCAAGTCCCTTTCAGTTGGGTTGCGGCTACTGGTCAACTAGCCAAAAAGGCTTCCCTTTTGTCCACGTGGGCTACCGGGTACCGCTAAGAAACTTCAGGCGGCCATGGTGGAGGTGGATGCGCACACGGCGCAGGCCGGCGAGGGGGTGCGTCCGTGATGCAGCTAAACCGAAAAGCAGAGGGCTGAACGGGGGTGTTGGTTTCAACTGGAAAACCAGAATGACGCACGTATTTTTAGGGTCCCCTGGTTTTGAGCCAAACCCGTACACTCTTGGAGCGGTTTCAAGTTTCAACATCTCCTTTTGGACCAATCCAAAGTGAGGCTCCTCTCGGGCAAAATTAGTAACAATCATATTGAATTGTTAGGGCCACATATAAAGTGAAAGGACAAAATCATCTACCATACTGTTTGACTAAATATGTTATAGCATGTATAATAGTTTAGATATGGGTGTATATAATTGATTATAAGTTTGGACATAATGTTGGAGAGTGATTAATAAAGGGGCCTCTCCCGCCCCCCTCAAACGAATTGGGGGGGGGGTCAATAGCGAAAAACCCCCAAACAATGGGGGTTTGACTGGCACCTGCCTGAGTAGTTTTCCAGTAAGTATTGTTTAGAATTTGTTTAGTATTGGTTTAGTATTCCTTTGAGCTGGCTCACTACGGTTTAGAATTGGTTTAGTATTTGTTCAGAATTCTTTTCAGTTGACTCACTACAGTTTAGAATTGGTTTAGTATTGGTTCTTCTTCTTGGCAGGCTGCCCTGGCCAATTCTTTTTCACAATTCCCTACCCTTAAACAAACTGCATTATTGCCTTCCTGGGGGTTCCGTGTACCACCCCCTTGAAAATTTGTCAGGGTGCATCTTCTAGTAGCGGAATTGATAAGGAATTTGGTGGTTTGGGCCAGGAAGCAATCCAGAGATTCTGGACATGTCTGGCTTTATCTGAGAACAGCAGGGCTTTTTTCTTGGCAGGCTGTCCTGGCCAATTTTTGTTCACAATTCCCTACCCTTAAGCAAACTGCATTATTGCCTTCCTGGGGG